CCCCTCCGGATCCGGCGAGAAGAGCCGCCCCCCGTCGCCGCCGCCGCCGAGGATCGACCACCGTCGAGCGCACCCCCTCGTCGCCGCTCGGGATCAGCCGCCACCGGTTAGTCCCTTTTTTGTGATTTTGGCGAGCTGCGTAGTAGATTGACGCGCCAGTGTGCAAGAGGCAGCCCGAAAAGACATTGAAAGAGCATTCGGTGTTTTGCAATCTAGGTTTGCCATTGTCCGTGGTCCTGCTCGTTTTTGGGATAAAAAACCTTGAAAAACATAATGACATGATTCTTGAAGATGAGAGAGGATTGAACTTAGAATTCTTTTAGACAATGTGGGTAGCCGTGTCAAACGGACCCAAACCGCATTAGAGCTTTTCTTTAGACATACAAAGAGATTGAAAATGCAGACGCCCACTTTCAACTTCAGGAAGATCTCATTGAGCACCATTGGCAAAGGGCTGGACAATGACTTATTTTTGTATTCATTTGTATTTGTATTCATGACAAATTTTGTATTGCACTATTTAAGTTTGCTATGGTTATTTGAATACTTATTTGTAATGCGGATGATTATTGTATTATGTTTGATTGGAATAATTCAGTTTGTTTTTTATTGTTGAATTATGTTGTATTTGAGATTTGCGGGCTGACGATCCGCGGGATGCAGCAGCACAAAGAGCAGACCCCGCAAAGCCGATCCGTAAAAAAGTATATTCTGCGAATATACTTTTCTACGGATCCGTTTGGGGGGTCTGCATCTGTGCCAGCCCAAGCCGACCCGCAAAAGCTGTTTTGCGCGAACTGCAAACGCGTTTTGCGGGCCGGCGGGATGCGGGGTCTGCTAGAGTTGCTCTTAGTCAATCCTATATTTGAGGAATATTACGTGAAGATCCATGCAAAAAAATATTTTTAGTTTGTTTTCTCATTCTTACACGTTACCTCACTTGACTTAGACTTGGTTAAGTCTCAGTCGATTGAGGCCTAGCAACATCCTTTCAAAAATTACATCCTTTTGAGAATTAGTACATTATATATAACACAATCACAAATATTATGTTTTGTTTCATCTTGATTCTATATATGAATGAGTAATTTCTTTCACGGACTTCAAAAAATCTCTGTCCAAATCAGACCATCAGTTGTTGAATCAAAGCGTGCCCTCTGCTAATCTGGCATGAAGGGTTTTTCCTTCATGTCGTTACTGGGCCGACCGGCTTCTTCTCTTTGTGGCAAGCGAACCAGAAGACGCTCACTCGCTGGCTGTAGCTGCTCGTTGATTTCTTCTTCTTCTTCTTCTTTTGTTGTCTTCTGGTGGGACTGGAACGATTTTCACCGGCTTTTTTCTTTCTTTCTTTTCTATGTTTTCTTTTTGCAGTTTCCTTTGGTTTCTACTGGGCCTTTTCTTTTCTTTCCTTTATTCTGTGTTTTCTTCACGGTTTCCTGTGGATTTCATTGCTTTTTCCTTTCTTTCTTTCTTTCTTTTCTATGTTTTTTTTGCGGTTTCCTTTGGTTTCTACCGGGCCTTTTCTTTTCTTTCCTTTGTTGTGTGTTCTCTTCATGGTTTTCTGTGGATTTTATTGCTTTTTTTCTTTCTTTCTTTTTCTTTAAGGTGATTTCATTGTATTTTCTTTCTGTCTTTTTTTTTCTTTACGGTTTTCAACGGTCATTTCTTTTAGTTCTTTCTCAGAATTCTTTAGGATTTTCATCGGGTTTCCTTTGCTTTTCTTTCCATTTTCTGTTTTTTCCTTTAGGGTTCTCCTCGATTTCATTGTTTTTTTCTTTTCTTTCTTTTTTTGTGTATTTTCATTACTTTTTTTTGGTTTTCGTCAGTTTGCATTGTTTTTTTCTTTTCTTACTTTCCTGTGTTTACAGCTTTCACCGGTTTTCTTCAGTATTTGTTGGTTTTTCCTTTCTTACTTTTTATGTGTTTGTCTTTACGGTTTTCTTTGGGTTTCATTACTTTATATTTTTCTTTTTTTCCAATTCATATATACTTTTCCCATACATGTTGTACATTTTTCTTATACAGCAAGAATATTTTTTATGCATGTTTAAAACATTTCAAATACATAATAAACATTTAAAAGAGTATGTTTTGATGTCTACCCTTTTTCATACACATTCTAAATTTGCTGTATATGTTAGGAACTTTTGTTTTATACACATTTATCATTTTACAAATACATGGTTAACATTTTTTTAATTATTTTTTGGTTGTCAGCAGTTAGTACATATTGTACATTTTCCGTATAGATATGAAACATTTTTACGCATTTTAAATACAAGATTAACCATTTTTCAAACATATGTCTTGATATATAATTCTTTCTCTGTATGCATTGTACATTCTTTTTTGCATAAATTTGAAACATTATTTATAAATGTTTGACATTTGGAAATAAATAATGAAAAAAAATTAAACACATGCTTTGAATATATTTTCGCATATGTGTTAATTGTTTTTCAAACACATTGTTGATACATTTTGAATGATACAAAACTTGGTTCTGAAACTACGTGAATATACTTTTACATTTATAAGCATTTTTAAAGAAATATTAATGGATAAAAATATCTTCCAATGTAATGTTCATTTTTTTGAATGGTAAACATTTTATACAAATGCCACATATATTTTTTTAAAAAGTGCAAACATACTTTATGTGTCACAAAAATTTACTTTTGAAACGCTATCAACATTTTTCTAAAATTATGCTAACAAATTTTTGCACCGCATTAGCATTTTTCTAATTCATGGTTACTGATTTGTTTCTTTAAATAGCTAAGTTTTGGAATGTATTTATTTATTTAAATGCAAGAAGAAACTAAAAATATAAAAAGCTAACTAGGAAGTTTTGCCAGCCCAATACTAGAGACTGGGAAGGCGCTCCTTGAGGTGAGACTTTAGTTCAGTCTCGGATGAAGCGATATTGACCCGCGCCCGGATCAAAGTGCGCCATCCGTCATGGCCTGTTTTCAAAAAAGAAAATCTGGTTGTTAACATTGCTCGCGGTCGTCCTGGCCTTCTCTATTGTCAAACCAAATACGCCTCAGCTAGTACTACACGTCACATCTGGAGAGCCCCTAACCAGTGCCTTAGTGCTAGATAGGTCTACGGGCGCCCGCGCGCATGCTGGGTCGACCCAGCTATGCCTGGTGGGTTGACCCGTGGACTTTTGCTATGTGAAGTTGACACGTGGACAGTATGACCGTTGACCAGTTGTCTGCAGATCATTGGCTGTTAACTATTGAAAAAAAACATTTGGAAACAATTTGTAAAATTGAAAACAGACCAAATTTGAAGAAAAAGACTTGGGGTTGAAAACAGTTCATAAATCCCAAATACGTTCACGCAAGGGGAAAATGTTCAAAAAATAGAAAAGGTTCATGGAGTCTGAAGAAATAGTTCAGGTTTTGAGAAAATCAGATTTTGAAAACATTTCGCAAAAATTGAAAGAGTTGACGGATTTGAAAATGGCCATGCATTGGCAAAAAAATAATGGATTAAGAAAACTATTAGGTTTTGAAAAAGTTTGCAATATGAAAAAAGTTCATAAGTTCACAAAAAATGAATTTTTTGATGAATTTTAGAAAAGTTTAAGAAATTGATAAAATGCACACATTTTTAAAAATAAAAATAGATAAAGCAAAAAAACTAAATTTGATTTTTTTAATGTTTAAGAATTTGAAATTATCTGAAAGTTTAAGAAAAGTTCATGAATTTTGAAAAAAAATTAAAAAAAGAATTGGTGATGATAGTGTGCCTGCCATCTTGCAATATAGCTTGTCCAATTTATATCAGATGGATAGGAAGGAAACTATGACAATTTTGCAAAAAGATACCCATACCCCTCTCCACATTTGTAAATGAGCTCTTCTCTCGTTCATCCTTTTCTCTCACAAGATAATCTACTTATACAAATGCATCTTGATGTTCAGTGCAACGCACTGGCATCTTGCTAGTAAAATTAAAATGGGAAAGAGAAAAGAAAAACCATATAACTTGTCCTGGAACAAACTAGAAAAAACACTCGGAAAAACCAATGGAACCTTGTAGAAAGTTCCTAAAACCGGACAAAAAAACTGACTGGATCAGTCGAACAAGAACTGGCACGTGCGAGAAACGTTTTGAACGAGAGAAAAGTGTTAAACGGGCCGAGCTCAAAGGAGAGGGGCGTGCGCCAGTTTGTGCAAACGCCTGTGACCGGCGCATAAGACACAAAATATTGTTTGGGGCGGATCCTGGCCTAGCAGCATCAGATCCCCACCTTGGACTCTACCGAAACCAACTATGCGCGCACCACCGGGCTTCGCCATAATTCATGTCGATGTCGGGATCTCCAGCACCTATGCAAGAGGATTAGCGGCGGGAGTGCGCCGAAAAGAGCTAGGAAATTTTCAAGGCAGCTCAGCCTTGGGGATCTTGTGGATTACGGATGTAGCGATGTTGGAAGCAATAGCTTGCAGAGAGGGTTTAGCACTGACAGAACATTTGGCGCTCCACAACTTCATCATAGCGTCTGATTCGAAGCAGGTGGTCAACGACATTCACAAAGGCAGTCGAAGAGGGTACGGTGCTATCATTAGCGAGATTAAGATTGGAGCTTCTTCTCACACTTGTAATTTTACTTTCGAAGGTAGAGCTACGAACACCGATGCAAATAGGTTTGCCAAGTTCTCACATTTTTGGATCAGGGGCGGCATGTTTGGCTGTCTGAACCCATGACCCTTTTTGTATCCCACATCATGTGAAATTTGAGTAGTAAAGCTTGGTTTGACCCTTCAAATCCTTCATTTTGTATAGCCCCTGAGTAATTTAGTCACACTATTCAGACACAGCAAACCACTTATTTTGTGGCTAAAAATACAATTGAACTCCACCAATAGCCTCACTGCCTGTTATAATATATTCACAAAAATGAAGAAAGTAAAGAAAACAAAAGAGCTGCTACCCTACATTGTATACAATCAAGCTATTGAGGCAAACATTGCTTGCGGATCTACTTATGATGAATCTGGATATGGACGGATGTAGGCTGAATTCAGCTCCCAGATCTTGATCGATTTTGCGGTGACGTTAACATTTGTAGCGTTGTTGAAGAGGAAAACTCTGGCAGAGTCGTAGATTGCCTTTGTAGGGTACACGCGCGACGTTATGCATGTCCTCCCGCCCTGAGCAAAGCTCTCCACGATGGAATGATCAACCTATCACAAAAATCCTCGGAAAAAATCAGTATGTAACTGATGAGCCAAAGACCAATCAATCAGAATATGTCGACTGACGCTTCTGAATTTCCTTTAAGAAACGTACCAGTATTCTCACTGACAGATCTTCTCCATCGAGCACAGGGACGAGGCTGCCGTAGACGGCCTTAACGAGATCGTTGGCCTTCGATGACCTGACGATTAAGATCGTGCAGATTAAGGTCGATGTAATTAGGAGCGCGTGCAGATTTAAGATCGATGCGTGCATACCTGAAGGCGTCTTGGCAGAAGTGGGTGCTGAGCTTGCCGTCCGCGCCCTTGACCAGGTAGAAGTAGACGGCGGTCTGCTCCGACAGGCCGTCGTCGGCCAGCACGAGCAGCCCGAACGGGCCGAGCGAGCCCCGCCCCGCAGCGCCGGCGCTCGCGCTGCAGTTGTACGGCGCTTCCGCCCCCGCCGCCACGCCCCCGGCAGCCGCCGCGCCCGCCTGCACCTGGAAGACCGCCTCGATGTCCAACTGCACGCACACCCGCACCAGGTCCGAACTGTCAACGTTGGTGCTCTGAAAACGCCCGGTTTCGGACTTTCGATCGGACAGAAGTGCAGTGCAGAGGGGGCCTGCAATGCAACTCACCTGTGTTGCTCTGCCGACGCCCAGGGGCACAACGGAGCCGGGCTGCAGGTCGAGGCCGTCGAAGCGCTTGCCGCGCATTCGGAGGTTCTCCACCTCCACCACCGGCCATTGGAGCAGGTTGCTGCCCGTCTTGGTGTCCATGAGAACCGTCCTCGGGATCGACTGCATGTTGGTAAGGAACATGGTTAATTACCGTGCTTTATGTACTGCATGTGTGCTCTGCCTATATTGCGCTACGACTTAAGGAAGGCAAAACTAATGTAACTGTGATGTGAGTTTCTGACTAATAAAAAGAAGCACGTCTTTTGCTTCCGTTAGAAAAAAAAATAATAGTCTGTGGAATTGTTAAGTTATTCCTTACACTAGAAAACGATATCCGCCTGGAAGTGGACAAGTAGAAAGAAATGAAGCAGCAGAAAGCTTTTTTCCTCAATAAAAAAACATTTTTACGCGACCTTTTGGTTAGTGCATCAGAAGGAGTTTTCGTTGACTAACTAATGTCGATCACTATGAACACGCCTTCTTCATCTTTAGGAAACCTTGAACATTTCATTTCGAATTTTTAAACTCAAAATCCTTCGGCGTCAAGTAAAACCCAACTTAAGTACCCAGCCAAGGCACGTTACACCTGCGAATTGGAGCCTTTGACTCCTCCGGCAACAAGTTGCTTGAAACAATCGGAGAGAAGTCGCGGTCATCACCAGGAAATGATTGCTAATTCGCTCACGGCACATTGCAGACAAATTGCATTTCGCGCCAGTCTATTGGACACTTGCAGATCTGTCTGGGCCCTCTCGACAGTTGGTTTGTTTTAATTTTATGAAGCAAGCAAGAGAGACGTGCAGCTCGTCGTTTTGGATAAATGGATGTGGGCCCAGGGCCCACACATGGATTTTGAAATTATTTTTTTCTATTTACATGCCGGCATGCACCTCGTGGCCGGTGGAAGTCAATGGTTTTTTTTGAGCATCAGTACAGTAAGGTGGCCTAGTCACATGTGCATGCAACACCACCGGGTCGATTTCCAGGAATGAAATGAGAGCATGAGACCTATCTTGAGTGAGCTGGTTACCTGGAGGGACGCCCAGCCCTTGAGGATGTCGGCGCGCTCGCTGTCGGACTCGCCGATCCACCCCCACAGCACGCGCCGCCGCCCCACGGGGTCGTAGAACGTCTTGGACGCGTAGAACTTGCCGTAGTCGTACCGGAGCCCGATCCCGACGTCGATCGCCGCGTCGTCCGGCGCCCACCGGTCGGTCGCGGGGTCGTAGGTGCCGATCGCGTAGTAGTCGTTCCGGTCGTCGTCGAGGCTGGTCTTGAGCACGTGCTTCACCCCGGCCCCCGGCGCGGTGGAGGTGTCGAGCCCCACGCCGGCGGCCGGCTCCGTGGACACCGGGTAGAAGTCCACGCACTCCCACATCCCGGTGCCCTGCACGACGTGCAGCAGCGTGGGCAGCAGGTCGTAGTGCAGGAAGTCCTCGGTCCTGTACACCAGCGCCAGCCCGGCGTGCTCCTGGTTCTTGGACCCGATGGTGATCCGCCAGGCCTTGTCGGCCGGGTTGAGCCACGCCGTCGTCGGGTCGCGGAAGTCCGTGAGCCCGATGCCCGGCGGCGGCACCAGCACGGGGTTCGCCTCCGACTTGGCCCAGCGCCGCAGCAGCGGGTCGGACGGGTCCGCCGGCTCCGCCAGGAGCTGCACCTGCGCGCCGTCCTCCGTGGAGCCGGTGTAGAGCATGACGATCCGGCCGTCGGGGAGCTGCGTCGCCGAGCCGGTCCAGACGCCGTTGATGTCGTACCAGTGGTCGGGCACCATGGCCAGCGGCAGGTGGAGCCAGTGGAGGAGGTCGCGCGACACGGCATGGCCCCACGTGATGTTCCCCCACACCGCCCCGTCCGGGTTCCACTGGTAGAAGAGGTGATACCATCCCTTGTAATACAGTGGACCTGCGAGACCAGTCGGTGCGTGAATGTCACAATTCATCACAACAATTAAGACATGAAAGCTAGTAGATCGCACGATCATTGGGCCGTGCATTGATGCGACGGTCCAGCCAGAAACGCTAGAACCATAAAGCATTTTTTCACAGCATGCATGTGCATGTCTGGATTGATCGGCCGGCGCGCGGCAACAACTTACCGTTGGGATCTGGAGAGGTCGATGAGAAGAGGTCGATCGGAACCCACAAGACGTCCGTGACAAAAACGCAAGACCAAGTTAGCAAAATGGAAATGTTTGTATTCAGAGACGTACGTATCCAAGTTTCAGCGTATTGAATTGGACAGAAGAAGAGCGATGGCGACGTATCTACCGTTCATCCAATTCTTCTGGGGCTGGAAATGGAACGCCGTGCGCTGCCACGCCAGCATCGCGTTGGTCCAGTCGTAGGCGCCGCCGCCGAGGAGCGCCGAGGCGGTGGACTTCTCCGACACGCCTTGCACGGCGCCGCGGGAGGCGGCCACCTCCACGGCGCGGCCCGCTGACGCGACCTCGTCTCCTATCGTGTCGGCCCGGCCGCCGCCATGCCCTTGTCGATAGACGACGAGCCCGACGAGCGCGAGAAGGAGCACGGTCCACGCGATGGCTGGGAGAACGGTCGTCGGGCGCTTCTGCCGTGCCGGAGGACGGCGACCCTTGAGGTTGGTCTCGGGAAGCAGCGGCGCGTTCGCGTTCTGGGCGGCGTCGTCCACGATCGCCGGGACGGCCGGGATCATCGCTGCGCGCTAGCTATCTGGGCTTGTTGGAGCTAGTGGTAGAGGAGACGCATGCATGCGGCGATCGAGCACTTTATGCTTTGTGTTTCACAGGACAAGTATGGACTAGTGGATCGATCGAGAGAGCAGAAGGAGCGCCGGAGCCGGGCGATATTTATAGACAGCCGAGCCTTGTATGGAAGAGACAGGTGGTGCAGTGTGGCGATGATCTTTCGGAGCCCTTTGTTTGGAAAGGAAACATCGCTGCCGGAGGAGGCGGGAAAGAAAAGGAAGGAAACGGCTGCCTCTTGTGTCGAGACGTACGCGGGGTGAACGGGGTCTATGGGACCGGTCATCAGGCACCGGCTATCCGAAGGGATAGGAGGAGGACGGGTCAGCGACCAGGACCCGGTTCATGTGGGTCATAGAATCAACATAGTGCCTTTGCATGTAAGAGAGGAGCTAAGGATCATGCTCTTTCTGTATACATGTAAATATAACATATAAAGATGAACCTTCTCCATTACGTGTGTCTATAGTCCACTCTTAAGGATGATATACTATTGGCCATCCTATCTGTTGCATCTTAATGTTTGAGCCGGAAAAAATAAGCAAGAGGGAGGATGTCAAAGGTGCGAGGTCGACCAAGCCATCGCCGAGAGAAGTAAGGAGGAACATGTTCCTTCATTCTGAGAGATAAGCGAAGGAAGAAGCACGCAAGGTCAAGGACTCCAATGCCAAGGTCCAGGACGAAGAGCTATTGGACAACCAGAAGCTTTGGACTTTACCTTTATACTCGTGTGTCATGCCTCGGGAAATCCTAGAGTTCAACCTGGAACTCAAGGCTTTATCTCTGGTTTCACTTCTCGACACCTCGGAGATAAATCCAGAGATGGTCCGAAACTCTAGTCCTTCGGAACACCGAACTTGTCCTAGACCTCCGGCCTTTCCTGCAGCATGAGACTGGGTTGGGCCCATGTAACTTCACCCACCCAGAACCTCTTCATGGGGAACGTATATAAACTGTATCTAGCTCCAGGTTTAGGGTTAGCAAAGCATTTGGGTTAAAAACAAAAGGTGCTTTGCTATCATCCCTTTGAGATCCAAGGCCTCCTTATGGGAAATGAATCCAAGACCATCATTTGATGCTGAGCTACACGACATCCATTCCCTAGGGATCAAATTTCGATTGGCTGAATAATCAAGTGTCGCAAGAGTGTTATTGCGGAGTACGGATCGGAGGCTTGTATAGCCATGATATTTTTTTGCTGATTTCATGTTTTGCCGCAAAGGCTTCACTAGTTATCCTTTCTCTCTTCATGTTTTGTAGTTCGTAATCCCCTCCATCTCCAATTCGTCAAGACCAGACATCCCTAGCCGGAATCCCGCGCATCAAAATATCTCACTTCAGTTCGTGAGAATGAAAACAAGATTGATTTCTCCCACGTGGCACAAAAGGCACAACCACATCAACAAACCATCCAATAAGCAAACATAAAATTTAACAATTGTAATATTCATTTGGGTCGGAACTTGGAAGTGGTGGGGTTGCCTTGGCACAACCTAATTATATTATCTAAGAGAGTGATCCCCGCAACTTCTAATTACCTTAACATGTGTGCTTTCACATCATCAAAATTGTTGTAGCCGTCAGATTTACTATTGGAGATATGTCCTAGATGCAATCATGTATGATGATATTTCCTATGTGTTTATGAATAAAGATAGTCCTTGGACATTATCAATGATGTGTATCAGCAAGTACGTGACTTGTTTGTGGGACTATGCATTGTATGATGACTGTCCTAAAAGGTCCCTAGTCGAAAGGGCTGTGTGGACGCGCAGCCGATTAGACTAGCATATGACACGGTCGATGGCTTGGTCTCACTAGCCATGGAGCATTGGATGCTAACCGGATAATATGGACTTGGAAAGGTCTGGTCGGATTCGACATAGTCGGATCCAAGTCGAGATAAGGTCCGAGTCGGACAGACCCAACTATGAGACGCAGCGATATGTCATCTGTGAGTCTCTAGTACAACATATGTTCTATGTCCTAAGACCTGAGCTGGCGCATGTACTCGGGATGGTGACAGACTTGCTTTGGGCCGACCAAATGCTACTCCGTGACTGGGTAGTTACAAAGGTAGGTTTCGGGTATGTCCAGTCCCATGCTGCGAGACATGGTCGAGCAAGATGGGATTTGCCCCTCCGATCAGGAGAGATATACTTTGGGCCCCTCGTGTGATCTGACCAGGATAAGCATGGCCATGCGACAAGGATTATGAGATAATCCGGGTAGTGGTCGGGATCACTGGAACGAGAAAGAGGTCGGGCTAGCACAAGGATGACAGTCTCGCCTTGAGCCCGACAACATATATCGTGAGGCAAAGGGAACAGAAGTGTGACACGTTGTACATGTTTGCCTAACCAGCTTCATAGTCTGCTTTGTGGTCGGCACGCCTTGCTAGAGGCCGCTACCAACCGTGCAGGTCGGAGGTGATCCGAACTGCGACCAAGCTGACTTGAACCTAAGGGGTCGCACGCTTAAGGGAAGGAACCTACGAGGTCGGATCCGAAGACACTGGTCGGATGTGATCCGAGCTGTATTCGGATTGTGGCCGAGTAGACTTGTGGGCTTTAGGGTCCGTGCGAGGCCCAAGTGTTGAGACCGCGACGGACACCTATATAAGGTGGAGGTGCGGCGCACTTATGTGGTTGATCGCTTCGGCGCTGTCACTAGGGTTTGCATGTGTTGCGAATAGCCACCTCCACTCTTCACCGACTGTGTGATCGGACCTAGCAGTCCGCCGCACGGTGTTCCTCCTGCACGCGCGGATACCGTTAGAGGCGGTGCACTTGTGCCACTCCGGCGAACTTGTACGCGGGATCGGTCGACCGACTGTTCGAGGGAGATCGGACGAGGAGGAGACGACACACACAGACGTGCTGCCCAACTCTTCTTCCGCTGCACAGCACTGCGCGTCTAGTGGCAACGAACTGTGATCCATCTCCCATAGCATGTTCCTGGATGTTCTATGCGTAGAAAAATTTTAATTTGCAGTCGACGCACCCTACCGTAGATCGCAACAGTGGTATCGGAGCCTCTGCTATAGGATTTGGATTCAGATCATATGCATATTAGATATGTGGAGGCAGCAGATGAGATCTGTTGTCGTTGATGAGTTCGGCTGTGTGCACGGTTGATGAGATGAACGACACATGGGGATGAAGAGGCTGTATTTTCTGATGATCGGAGTCGATGAGGTCGTGAGACAACCTACCCCTACCGGTCGGTATCCGCCATCGGGGTTAACAGTGAAACGTAAACCCGAATCGGACTCGCGATGATCGATATAAGATCGGTCAGATCGGAAAATGTGATTCTATGGGGACCGCCGTGTGCGTAGCGCCGTGTATTTCGTACCCGACACATAAACCGGTAGAATGCGATTCTATGCATACTTTGTTTTGTAGGTTTGATGTGAATAGTATGGCTCATGCGTATGTGATGCATGTGTGTAATTTATACATGGCCTGTGTGTCATGTTTGTCAGCCGGCGGGAGCCAAAGTGCTGTCATTATATCGTATAACGACCTGCGTGTCGACTTGTGACTCTATGTAAATTCATTACTAGTTATAGTAGAGATCAGGTTGGTGGCTTGGCGTCCCGGCATGACAAACAAGATGGAGTTCCTAGATGGTCATCGGAGTCGGAGCCGACCTGGAAGAACGTCCATGAAGGAGTCATACTATTTTACAATATGTGTTTATTTGTGATTGTTATGCTTCTTTGTTTCTATGCATGTTAGAATGGTAGAAAGATCCCTCATGAATATCAAGTAAATTGCCATTCTCGATGTTGCACCTTCGCACGTCAAGTACGTCTAGTGGTGGGCTCATAAAATTGGGGTGCTGCTGGGTGTCCTTGAACTGAAGGGTTCGTGCCGGACACGGACATGCACTGCATCAGGTTAACTTGACAAGGCTATCAAAATGGTTTTGGGCCTTGTGGCAAAGAAGGTTGGGAGCCGGGGTATGAGATACTTTCCCGACCTACAGGAGTCGTATAGAGATACGATTAGCAAAGAGTTGCTTACCGGATAGGTATGTTGGCTAGCAGTGATGCTAAAGCTCACTAGTCACATGCGCTAGTCGGATCCTGAATCACTGAGAGTTTGTGGAGGGATGCTGACTTCAGTGGGAGTATTTCTGTTTAGGCGAATTACTCTACATAAACACATTGCTTAGTGATTGCATATTTTCTGTTGTAGATCAATGGCACCACCTGCTCAACCCAACTTTGCATTGAAATCAATTCTGGAAAAGGATAAACTAAATGGAACAAACTTTACCACCTGGTCTAGAAATCTGAGAATTGTTCTCAAGCATGATAAAAAGGAACATGTTCTAGAGGATCCACTTCCAGAGGAACCTGCCGATAATGCTAATGCCACCACTAAGAATGCCTACCAGAAACTCGTTGATGAATCAACGGAGATCAGCTATCTGATGCTGGCTTGTATGGAGCCCAATTTGCAACAGCATTTCGAAAATGTTGAGGCTTACGATATGATCGAGAGTCTCAAGAGCATGTTTCAGACACATGCTAGGACCGAAAGGTTCAGCGTCTGGCGATCCTTGATGGATTGCAAGCTGAAGGAAGGTGATCCACTGAGCCCGCATGTGATCAAGATGATCGGATATGTGCAAGCTTTGGATCGTTTGGGCTTCCCGCTCTTGGATGAGCTTGCTACTGATGTTGTTCTGGGTTCTCTTCCGCTCAGCTATGGGACGTTCATCTCGAACTATCATATGCATGGCATGGATAAGAAGCTCACTGAATTGCATGGGATGCTCAAGGTGGCAGAGCAAGATATTAAGAAAGGAACGCATCAAGTGTTGATGGTGTAGAAATCGGCTAAGTTCAAGAAGAGTTGGTCCAAGAAAAAGGCTAAGGCAAAGGGCACGGAGACGGTAACCTCCGCCGCTGCGCCGAAGTCTGGACCGGACTCTAAGA